TACTCATATCACCTAGCGCATCACTAAGGATGTCTGACAACGTGTTGGAAGATGCGGTCGCTGGCTGAGGCGGTACGTCGATAACCAAGTCTAGTGTATGCGAGTCTCGCGTTCTCGTAAAATATGGATCAAGTGGGTTGAAGTTGTCGATAGTTGAACGAGACATGAACACCTTCTCGTCTCGGCCCAGAGCTATGTTAGAGATGGCGTAGATCCGGAACTGCTCATCAAGGTCCAGTTTCTGTTCTACCGTGCGCGGCTTGTCTTGCTCGCGAACCATGCCAAGTCTGAGTCCACTCATCGAATTGACCAAGATACCTTCGTCTACCCTTTGGAGCGCACCAACCAGCGACGTACTGGGCATGTTGGGAAAGGAGAGATCGAAAGTGGTTCTAACAGCCAATGGTGAGCTTGTTGCGTTGTACGGGATGAGTGCTGGAGGCAAAGTCCACGGATAATAGGTGTAGTTGGAAGGTGAACGTATGTCTGACAAAGAAACGCTGGGATGATCGGCACTGAACTCGACAAGCGGAGACTCAAGTGTCTCAATAGTTGGCATAAGATGTAGTTTGGCAAGGCTTGCAGCATGGTAAACATCAGTACGAGCCGCTGTTGCAGAGATACTGAAGGGCAGATGGGCTGGCGGGAGAGGGCATATCTCGGGCGCTTCGAAGACGGGAGGAGATTGTGACCGCGTTTTACGGACAGAACGTAATCGCTTTGGCACAATCAACGGGTGACCTTCGGTAGTGAAGACAAACGGCGCGTCCCAGGTGTTAAGCGGATGCGACGGATCGAAGAGTAGAAAGAGGTATTTGGCAGTCTCGCCAAGGAAGAAACTCTCCATGCGATCGTTCAGCTCCCCAGTACGCACATCCTGCAGGCCGGCCCACCCACACTTGGTCCAACAACGTCTTTTGATATCGCGCAGCGCCATCTCCCCTACATGGAGGTACCAGGGGTCTTTCGTGGCTTGGTAAAGGTACCAGGTCGATTCGATCCACTCTGGTCGTCCGCCCCACCAGCGAAGGCCGTGCTCGATGTTGCCAGTCGCGGTCGACCATCTTTCGGGCATGGCGGAGTAACGGGTCCAAAGAGCAGTGTAAAGCAGGTGCGTCTCGATGGCTTCGTCGAGCTTGCCAGCCATAGTCAGGAGTCCTTGGTAGAATGCGCTCAGGCTATCTATCCACCAGGCCCTGATGGCGCCTGTATACAGGTCAACTTGAGCATAGTGTGGATGCTGGTGTTGAGCACCGCGATAGATTTGTCGTTTGATTCCATCGTGAGCGTCGAGCCAAGTAGCTAGGAACGCGTCCGGTGAATCAGTAGCCGCGTTTTCTTGATTAAAGGGTAACCCGGAAAGAAGAATGTGCGATTTGAGAGCATATTCAAAGAAACTGTCAATGCCCGCTCCAATGCCTGTGTAGGAATTCACCCACTGCCCCGTTTCGGCATCGATACCAGCACCGATGAGCCCGATGCTACTTCTGCGGTGCCACACAGCCCAGAAAGCATCTTTGGCTAATCTCTCGTACTTGGGGTCGCCAGTCAGTCGGCTCAAAACGGAGAACTCAAGGACCAGACTTCCGGCACCAGCGCTGCATGTCTCGGTGACTTCGGTCCCTTTGTCGTTTGGATCCCTCCCGCACTGGCCATGCTCGGCATCCATGTTGTTTGGTGATTTGGCGTAAAAGGGTACTCCATACCGCAGATTGACTCGGGGGTAAGGTAAGCCAGTCGGTGTGTTGAAGGCTGGTAGCAATCGATCGGTGAGGTCTGTCGCGAGCCGCAGTAGTTGTCCGTCATAAACAAAGCCATTGGGCCAGAATATGCCCTGGCGTCCTTGTCTCTTCTCTGTTGTTGCATTGTAACCTCTGATGGGCAAGTCTCCGACAGCAAACTGATGCGAGCTGAGCAGTCCGCCGACTCCGCGGATGACCGTCTCAAAGACCTGCACTTTGCTGTCCAAATCAAAGCCTCTCGCCCTGGCTCCTCGGCCACGGGGTCCCGGAGTGCCGTCGCCATAGTTTTCTACCAATAGTTTGACACCGGCTTGGAAGTCGTCCAAGGCGTTGTTGGATGCAGGCGCATCGAGTGGAGGTGTAGAAGCAAGTATAGCGAGCGTCGACAGACTATCTATCAGCGTCAACGAGTAGTTTCCGAGAACGTCGTTGACTTCTATATGGGCGGGGTTCTGGCGATCACGAGTGAGGGGTGCGCACGTAAGCGGTCGCAGTTCGTCCTCGGGGAAGGCATGCTCCATGTAGTTGTCGTAACCATGGTAGAAGATGTCGCGTGTCTCTTGTCTGCTACAGTTAGCATGCACATGCGGCGGCGGCTCGTGCATAGCGGTACCTCAGTTCAGATATGGCTTCATCGGTCATGCCATGACCGGGAGCCGTCCAGCAAGCTATCCACAGCAGGAATACGCATAGTAGCTGAAAGGGTGCTCCTCCGGGCATGGGCGCATGTCGCCGCAGAGGCCTTCCAGTCTGTCGCATGGGCAAAAGAGTCCCTGGGAGGCGACATGGAACTGAGGTCTATCAGCTGTGGAAGGCGTGGGTGCAGGTGGTGTATAAGCGGGGCGGCATGTCCGGTGCTGGTGCTGGACTGGTGAAGCCACGATTGCCATATGACATCGGCGAATTTCTGGCGAGGGAGGAGCGTCATTGCGCCAAGCCCTGCTCCATCAATTATTTCATCGCAACACTTGACGGACACGCCATCCTCCATGTTCCCGGCCCATGTCTTGTAGGGGCGCTTTTTCTTCTTAATTTGTAGTTTATCTCCCCCTCTTCCATCACAATGCTACCTCGAGCCGCCTTCCGCGCACTGCGCACCCGGCCCGCACTGGCAGCTCCGCGCATCGCACCTATAGCTTCCACCTCGCAATGGACGCGCACCTACGCCAAAGTCGGCAAGCCAAAAGACAACACATGGAAACCCGCAGACCCAATCAAGTTCGACGAGGGCAACAAAGCGCGGCCCAACCCAGTAAACCCTTCAGAGCAGCCTGAGTTCGACACTGCGGCGGCACCCGAGAAAAACACAACACCGACACGGCCCTCAAGACCAGTGGAGAGTGCAACCCAGGCCTCGAAAGATGCGGGCAGTGACTTCAAGATGGGGGAGCAGGAAGAGATGTCGGGACCCAAGTCGCCCAGCGAGAACACAGACCCCACCACCGAAAGCCCAGAGTCGCAACAACCACAGAAGCCGCTGCCAGATCTGCGATACGGAATCCCCTCGACCTTCGCTGAGGAGCATGCCGAAGCCGAAGGCAAGGCCAAGAGAGACCCGAACGACCCAAATGAATTCTACGAGGACCCCACACCAGGCGCTGCGGGCGGTCGAGAGGGCGGTGGTGGCGGCGAACTCCCCAAATCCGCATACGAGACCAGTACCGACAGGCGGCGGAATCGCGTTGCCAACTGGTCATATCTCGCCATGCTACTCTTCGGTACAACGGGTGCAGTCTTCATGGGCAGGAACTGGGAGAATGAAGAAGAGGAAGCAGCTCACATTGATGCTCCAAACGGTTGGACATTGGGAGGCATGTACGCTCGTGCAGCCGCCCGCATCAACGGACAAAAGGCATACTACACAGAGCCCACCTTCCAGAAGTTGCTACCAGACAAGGAAAAGATTCCTGGAGGCGCGCCCGAACTTACTCTGGTGCTGAGTCTGGAGGACCTCCTGCTACACTCAGAATGGACCACCAAGCATGGCTACCGACTAGCCAAGCGACCCGGTCTCGACTACTTCCTACGATACCTCAGCTCACAATACGAGCTCGTCATCTTTACCTCCGTCAAGTCCATGGATGCCGACCCCATCATTCGCAAGCTTGATCCATTCCGTCTCGTCATGTGGCCACTCTTCCGTGAAGCTACTCGCTTCGAAAAGGGCGAGTACATCAAGGTATGCTCCCACCGTCTTGCTTCTAGAGTCACTCTTGCTAATATTCTCAGGACCTTTCCTACCTCAACCGTGACCTTTCCAAAGTCATCATGATCGACACCGACCCCTCGCACGTCAAACTCCAGCCCGAAAACGCCATCATCCTGCCCAAGTGGAAGGGAGAACCCGGAGACAAGGGCCTTGTAGCCATGATTCCTTTCCTTGAGTACCTCGCCATGATGTCTCAAACCGGCACCCCAATCGACGTACGCACCGTTCTCAAGTCCATGGAAGGCAAGGACATTCCTGTCGAGTACGCTCGTCGTGAAGCCAAACTCCGCGAACAGTTCCAGCGCGATCTCCAAGAACAGAAGAAGAAGACCAAAGGAAGCGCAGGCGGCATGTTCATGAAGAGTTTGGGTCTTGACGGGCCGAAGCAGGGCATGGTTCTCGGTGACCAAAACATCAGCCAGGGAATGTCAGAGGGCAAGATGATGATTGACATGTACCGCGATTTTAACAAGCAAAACTACATGCACCTAGACAAGCAGATTCGCGAGAACGGAGAGCAATGGCTCAAGGAGATGGCTGAGGAGGAAAAGAAGATGCAGGAAGCTCAACTCAACGACATGAAGGCAGGCGCATTCAGCTGGTTGGGTGGTTCAGCACCTCAAACAGCCACTGTACCCTCAGCGGCGAGCGCCCCGGAGGCGGCGGCAAGTCATCAGGAGGGTGTTCAGCCGACGCAGACACGGTAGAGAGTTTCCGGAATGTACGTCTAAGGATTTGAAAGATACCACGAAAAGATACCGTTCCACTCTTATGCAGGCAGCACTGGAGTACTTCATCTGGATATGGGTGTCTTGGGTACTCACGATATGTACTATATATGTTGAAATACAGTATCATGAATGCATAGCAATATGTTGCGATTGCAATGACTTGAACAACACTTTCTTTCGTACATGCCTCGGCTCACGGCGTTAACACCGGACGTAATGGTGGGGCGGCGCGCATTCGTCCTTCGTCATGCATGTCCCAGCCGCCTGTACACTTCTTCCAATTCAACCCCAGCTCTGTAACTGTAAATCAACATCACCATGTTTCAATTCACATCTCTCGTATCCAATCCGTTTGCATCACGGTCTACACCGCCAGAATCACCCCCAGAGCCGCCCGTCGTGTCCGAAGAAGCCGCGACCGCACCGGACCCGTTTCCTTTCCTTCGCCTGCCTTTGGAGCTCCGTGAACAAATCTACTCTGTATATTTCAGCCCTGCCGATCATCTCGTCAAGAGTACCGAACTAGAAGCCAAGGGTTTCTTTGGGGGCGTATACCAATGGGACTTTGATGTCCTCAGGGTAAACAAGCAGGTGTACGAGGAAGCAAAGAAAGTGTGGAGGAGAGAAAATGTATTTGTCAAGGTTGCTACACCCTGGCCTTCTGCGGGTATGTATAGGGTTTACTTGATGGCGACAGAAGGGGTTCCAGAGTTACTCGAACACACCGCGACGACACTCAGTGGAATTCGCGGACGCCGTGAGCTCCTCCCTTTTCTTCAGGATGCAACGCTGATATTCAACTTGGAGTCTTAGTGAACCACATCTCATCCGAGGGTCTCGTACCCATCGTGTGCACCGACGCCCGTGCCGACGCGTTTACGTCGTATCATGCCGTTGTACAGATAACCGCACCCTTCCATGGAGTTGTGCCTGAACATATGGTCGTTATGCTCGTGGATGATTTGCACCTGTTTACCAAAACGTGGTACTATAGTGCACTGTCGTATCCTATGCTCAATGAGCGGCTGTCGACTACCTTTGTCCTGAGGAATCCGTATGCAGAGTACAACGATGAAGAGGAACGCACATCAGAAGCGCAGGAGGAGCAAGAAGGTCTAGGGATCCCAATCTCTCTGCAGCGGAAACTCTTGTTACCTTTTGAACACGTCAAAGGTCTCCATGGAACAAGCATACACGGCTACTCCCCCGCGGTACGCAAAGAACTTGCTCGCCTCCAAGCCAAACCTGTACCCACGTTGCGCGAATCCGTTGAAAGCGCCACAGACTTCATGCTAGCTGGAGACGCCGCGCTCGCATCCTCGTCAAATGCCGATACCAATAGTAAAGACGACCCTGACGCCGAAGCTGCCAACCGAGAAGCCGCCCTACAAGCTCTCGAGCTCTACAGAAAAGCATTCCATGCAATCCACATTCTGATCCACGGACGCACACGCCGCGTCCTCGCAGACGACTTCTTCCACGATAGCATAACGTCCGGTCGTTACGCCGGTCAAACCGGGATAACCATACGCGTCGTACTACGCCTCAAACTCGTCTCACGAACCGTTGCAGCATACAACAAACTCGGTCAATGGGGTGAGGCTGCCTTCTGGGGCTTTCGCACGGTACAGATCCTGCAAGAATCGTTCAACACTGATTTCGAACATTTCTTAACCGACTTCATCGAGGGCTCTGATTCTGGTTTGATTTATGTACGGGCTGGAATTGCATTCTGGCACATGGAGAAGGACAAAGAGGCTTGGTTGGGAGAGCTGATTAGTTATGCTGATGAGCCTGTGGCTGAGAGTGGTCGGCTCTGGGCGGCGGCCCGGAGATTTGTTAAGCCTGCTGCGAGGGCAGATGTAAGGAAGGAGTTGCAGGATCATGGTGTACCACAAACGATGATCAACCTGTTTAGTGATGTAGCGACTAGGGAAGAGGCTGTTGAGAGTACCGTAGCTGATGATGGAAGTAGTACCAGCGAGGAGTAACGGTATTTGCGGTTAAGAATGCAGGCTTGTTCTACTACGAAGCGCATGTAGCCGTCAAGATCATCGAGGCTTCTCACAGACCATACAAAAACGACATCTTCGCATCCGCATATCTGGTTGAATCCAACCTCTCGGCCTCAATCTGCTCTGCACTCCTTCCCTCTGCCCAAATCATCTTTCTTCTATTAACAGATTTTAAGATGAACCTATACGCCGTGTACCCTATAAGCGCCTCGGCCACGAAGCCTAGTGTGGCGTAAAAAGGTGTCAGATATCTAGGCGCATATCGTTTCTTGTAGAGCTGTGAGCCGATCACGCCTGCGAGGTTGCCGAATCCGTTCACACCGAGAACGAGGGACCGTTTTCCAGGCTCGGGATTGTTGCCACTGAGCCAGGCTACAGTCAGGGGGGCTGAGATGTAGCTTCCGAAAAGAAGGATGCAAAGACCTGCGTACTGTGCGTGGTGGAACGGCGCGGCAACGGTGATGATCAGGCCGACGAGAGCAAAGAAAGTGCCAATGATGATGTGATAGCCCCGTTCTTTCCGGTGATCTGAACTAAGGGCAAAGAGGTATAGACCTACGGCACCGCATACGAATGGCGGTACGGACATCTATAGATATAGTCGCATCAGCCTAAATCACAGAATGGAGTATACGAGCAAAAGAACGTACCAAATTTGCGTCAACTGATGAGTATCCCAAGCCCTGCACAACCATAGGCATAAAGACGGAGAACGCCTGGCTGGGTACACTAGCACAGATATTGAAGAAGAGTAGAAACCAAAGTTTCCAGTCTTTGACCGTTTCAATAGCATCCCTCTTCGTAAGTCGATCCTGTTCTACGCCATCATCTCCGTAACTGTGTGCAACCCATTTAGAGTTGTCTTTAATGATACGCTGCACAGCGAACACTTGTTCATCGGCATCAAGGAACCAGCCTGATCCTGGTCCTTGCGGTAGCCAGAACCAAGCAATCATTGCAACAAATACCGTCAAGGCCCCTTCGATGATGAACAGGTACTGCCAATTATGCAGGCTGGTGCCGTTGAGATGGAAAATGCCGAATGCTGGTCTCGATGTTAGAAAAGCATTAGAGCGTACGGAAGATTGCAGGGCATACCAATAGAGCCCGAGAAGGCACCGGCAACAGCGTATTGTCCGTAGAAGAGTCCGATTCGCACAGCCATGTCATATCGGCCGTAGAAGGTGGAGAGATATGTGACGGCTGTAGGATAGAAACCCGCCTCGAAAGCGCCAATCATAAGTCTGACAGCAATGAGACTTCCCTTACCCCGGACAAAGGCGTGCGCCAATGTAGAAACACCCCAGCCGATCTGTCTTAGATTTAAAATTACATGCCATATGTGTTTACGGTAAACTTACCATTATAATGGTAATCCAGTGCTTTGCGCCCATCCATCTTCCTACAGCGGCCGAAGGAGGCTGAAGCAACACGAACGTGATGAAGAAAAGCGACACTGCTAGGTTAAGATCATCCGGGGTTGCGCCGATGTCTTTAGTGAACCCTGCATACGTTAGGACAGATCCTTTACGACCAGCATTCCGAAGATCTCACATACCTTGCGTCTCCGCATTTCCAACATTCGATCGATCTAAACCGTTAAACAGATACAGCAGGGAAAGAAATGGTAGCAGCGCAATGTCCATCTTCCTGTTTACGCGTTTTGACATGGAGCGCCCCTCAGGACTGGGGGCTTCCCCTTCTGTCGACATTGCAATCGCTCCACCCATAATGGTGGTTGAACTCATCACTGTAGAGTTGCTACTGCGGGAACAAGGGAGCAGAGGATCATCTTCTTGAATAAAATCCATAGTAAAGGCAAGTTCCGTAAAGTAAAGATGGCCAAGCTTAGTCACCTTTACCATTTTCCGCTTTCACATGTACGTAATTGCTTTGGTGAGGCTCAAAAACGGATCCTTAGCTCGCCTACAATGACCGATGTCGATATGTTACCGCCTCTCACCCCGTTGAATTTGCCCGATCAAAGTTGTATACAGCTTGGCTTGCAGCAGTCCATGGATCGGAGCGTGCCAGGCTAAGCTTGGCCAATCGGAGGCCTCCGCACAGGGAGCCATCCCTGTCCGAATGTGGGTTTCGACATCGACACCAAGGTGAGCCAAACGCGGTTCTGCAATGGTTGCTTATCTTGACGAGAATGGTAAAAGGGCAGCTTGGACATCGTTGCCTCATCACCCGCGGCGAGATCAGCCAACATGGAAAGCTCTAGAAACATCTTCTATGCACCTTCGGCATCTCGAGTCGCAAAACTTTATGCACTACGAGCCGGTTCCAAGTTATTGTTCCGTGTATCGATCATGGCGTCAGCAAACCCCTGATAGCCCGACGGGGTGGTAAAAGCGACTCCCTTGGACCGTTCGTAATCGAGGGTCACTGCATTGCCGTGATTGGTTGACGGTTCCGGGGGCGTAGGAGCGCCGCGGGGAAAACAAGCCTCTTGGATGCCATTCGCCCGGAGGACAATCCCGGTGAACCAATCAAATGAGTAAGCTGTTATGTAGCTTTAGCCCGTCACTTTGCATCCAGGTTCGCAGCTCCTGGTACACAGTACCCGCTGTCATGTTCGATGGACTTCCTTGGATTTCTGGGCCTCGCTGGGCACTGTACTGCGGTCCAGGAGTACTAATGACTAGGCCAGGGTCATTTCCTTGCTCGAAGTGTCCATGGCCATGAGACAGGTAGCGATCAACTAGAGCCTTGAGATCTTGCAAAACCTTGTAGCAGTCTCTGGGGTAGTTGGTACCCGTTCTTGACTCCTCCTCAAAGGTGCGCATGGCAAAGTCTATCTCGGAGGCATACACTGCGGTGTTGAGCAGAGCCGGCGAGGCTTCGGTGCTAGAAGAGTGAAGAATCCGATCTAGTATCAGGATAACAGCCGCGTTGAAGACAAAGTGCAAACCGGCCTGCAGTAGCTTCCTCGTTGACCGCAATCGTTGAGCTGACGACAAATTACGCTGAGCAGCCTTTGAGCAAGCTTGAACATATTTGCTATGCGCGTGTTGCTGCACAGACCATTGGCCGTTCATGTAGCGTTCAGCAACAGCTTGCTTGACAGCGGCAAGTAGGATCGGCCGAGTTGCGAGGACAATGAGCTGGTTCGAAGCTAGATGCAGAGAGAGGACCGCAGGATCAGCGTCTATGTGGACAGCTAGTACCGGTGGCAATTGCAGCTTCCAGTCTTCGAGCAATTCCAGAGCCTTATCCACGTGTAGGGTCGAATATCCACGTTGGTAGTGTCTCGGGGCGATTTTGAATGTTTCACAAACAATGTAGCCAGAGATGCGGGATAGCTCGACGTGTGCTCGGAGGCCTGCACACGGTGGCATTGAACTGAGGAGGTTAGTCATGCTTTCCGCTTCACCTACATGCAAATACTTACGGCACATCGCTTGGTAAAGGTAGCCTGATCGCTTCATCAAGTAGAGTCGGTGGGCGTCCCATCAGTACGGAAAGCCATCTATCCAATATATATAGGGTCCAGAAAGTGCGTTTACTCGCTTCGTCATTACATGACCTGAATGCCCCATGTATTATGGCGATATGAATTGCTAGGCTGACCTTGACGTTTGGAAACAAAGTCAGCATGTGCCTTGAGTGCAGCGCGTACATGGATTTTACTTACATATACGTAAGCTGAATCTCTGCGGTTGAGTTCGATTAAATAGAATCCCATAAGGGTCAAGACCGGCACATCATCCAGAGTGAATCGTACAGTATCCAAAGGGTTTCCAAGAAGCTTTCGTGCGCGCTTGAAGAAAGCCCCTCCCGCATGCTGGTCTGATCGATGGAAAGCCGCATGATCAACAGACGTAGCCAGGGCGAAGCAGACATGATAAAATGCCAAGCGTCGGTGAGTGTCTTCTGTCGTCATTGCACTCATCGAAGGGGCTGCAGATGTGGGAAGCTTGCTGAGATCGCCCCACCCTGTACGGTATCAGTGAAAGTACCAGCGATGACCGGCGCATAGCTTACAGTATATTCCGCCGGAGAGAAATTCACCGTTGCCATCTTGAATATATGCTCGTAGTTGGGCCAACATCAATGCCATATCTTCCTGATCGGGTAGCCATAGAGGATCCACACTTGGATTGGGAATTGGTCTCGAGTCGTAGGTCTGATATGTTCCGATTGAAGCAACGAATGAAGATCCATCCGCAGACTCAGGCTGGAAGGTTAAAGGAACTAAGGTAAGCATGAATTGTTTCAAGTAATCCAAAAATGTCGCTCCAGATGTTTCGCCAAAAAATCTCGGGGTGCCACAAGGATCAACAAGCAGGCGGCCGTCGTTCGCATCGGCTTGATCCAGTTCCACTGACACAGATAGGAAAGTCGGTGCGGTTGAACGCCCTGGCACGCCATGATCGAGCTGGCCAATGAGTTCAGCGGCTTCTTCAGGTGCGGCAATCTTGAACCCCGTCTCGAGTGCTGCACATCGCTTTCGCAAACGTTCGAGCTCGTCTCTCAAAGAGTGCTTATCCGATTCGGGTGCTGGATACTCGCATTGTCGTGAGGATTTGGTGCATCGCTGGCACGGCTGTTCTCCAGAACACCGAACCCGACGAACGTTGCACGCGTTGCATCTACCCTCTGCAGGTCAGCGATGAGTCGCAGAAGGCTTAAGCTTGGACTGCCCAGAACTTGAGTAATGCGCGCGTTCTCAGTGCTGCAAACGAGCCATGCTGACGTATGCAGACAACAAATGCTTGGGCGCCATCTATCGACATCTTGGTACCATGGCACCAAGAAACCGCGACCAATAACAAAGCGAAACACGGAGGCTGGGACTATACTCACGCTCTTACGACGCGCTTTCGTAATGACGGATCGACCTTGTGTCTTCTTGGATTAACAGGTAGTCGCTGTGGCTGGGGAGAGGAACTCTGGGAGGATGGTGTGAAGGTGGACTGCATCTCGGGCCGAACGGTTCAAGTTTGTCGCAGTATACCTGGTACTGCCATGGGTTGTGTGGAGAGAGATGTGGGTGAGGGACGGTAGCACCGAAGAAGGGAAGACGCGAGAGGTGCCGAAAGCGCGCAGCGCCTCTCGGACCCCACAAGCCTAGTTAAACGGCACGTCACCGCCATCGTTATGTTGAGATGTCTAGAGACAAGTTTACAACTGTCGCTTTCATAAAGGCGAAGAGGTAAGAATCGCCAATGCGATAAAAGAAACCTTTGCCACATGTTGATTCAGAATCACGATCCAATCATAGGATGTGGGTGTGCTTCCATGGCGAACGGCTGGGGGAATGGCAGGGTTGGTGGACTAGCCTGTGGGACCCTGCTGCAGAGATCATACCACCCAGCACCACAATGCATGCCTACATGGAGGATATGAGCGGAGTGTTAAATCCGTAGGTTTTTTCTTTTACATGAGCGTTAGTAATCATCATGGACATAGTTGTAGCTGTGATATTTTACGCTAGAACTACCGACGTATACAAAGCGCGCGCCAGTGGGGGGAAAGAAAAGAAAAGTTTGATATTAGAAGCTTCTATACCAGCAATGGGTATAGAAATCAGATTAGACGCGGCTGGGACATCGATTCATAGGACGCCACACGGTACGGATCGAAAGGAACCCGTGGGCCAATGCGTGTCAAGAATAGAAAAAGAAAAGAGAGAGACGAATTGCCGGTGAACGAGAACGCGACCTCGGCTTCGCCACGTGTCGTAAGGGCTCACTTCTCCAAATCCACGGCTAATTGCCACCTACAAGCCGTGCGTATCATGTATTTCGCCTCCTCTTCGCTCATCCAGTTCATCTCTTCATCGCCGTTCCACTTGATTCCTACTATCTTTCCAGCGCCCTCGCCCTTTGTATCCATGACCACGAACAGTTCTGCCACCTTCAGTCCAGTCCAACTTCGGTGGAAATGGACCTTCAGTTTTCCTGTCTGATCGGGACCCTCGCTATATATATACCACTTATCATCCATGTCCTTTGGTGCATACCCAAGATATAATGAGTATATTTGCGAGGGTGGGAGGAAGATATTCCATGAGGTTATGAGGGGCTTGCCAGGAAACGGCATGGTTGGTAAAGCACTTGGAAGCACGCGTCGCCGCGGTTCTGGAGATGGCGGGGGTGTAAACTCGCTGCGGACGTGTCGATTTGATGGTAGCTCGATGCGTTGGATATGTGCAACCATCTTGGGTTGTTGCGATTTCGACGCATCGACGGCTATGACAGTGCTCTTGTTTGCCGGCGACGGCGGTGGTGTAAGGAGGTAGGACGGTGCATGTGAAGGACGGCGCTGTAACCTTCTCGGCGATTGTGGATTGGGCGACTGTAAACTGGGCGAATATGAACGAAGGCCTTCGTTCATTAGAAAAGGCGACGGAGGAGCGTCGCCTCGATCTCGTCTTGAGAAGCGCCGGAATAGTGACTTCTTTCTAGAAAGCGGCTGTGGTGATTCGAGGGCCATTGTCTTCAGTATTACCCCACCTGCGATTCTTCTTATTATGTCCTGGCTGTAAATGGCAATTCTCCAATATGATTTCAACGGCGAAACGAGAGTATGAATCAAAGTAATAGGCTTGTCCGTCTCACAACGACAAGTGGGGAAGAGGAGGTGCACCGTGCAAGACAAATACGATGGTAGTACTCAGCCGCTCCCCTCGCGAGGGCTGAGTCTGGCTTTATTTAGCATGCACATTCCAAACTGCATGCGGACAAGCGAACACGCAGCAGCGCACCTAGATCCACTCCACAGGTACGAGAACTCCTGCATGGGGTGGGCTGGCAAGCCTGAGTAAAGATTATGGCGCGTGATCGGCCTGAGGATGGCTGGAAAGAAGTTCTGGTGGTGGGCCGGCTATGGCAAGCGTCATGACCCAAACTTTGACGCGGGAAGCGCACGGTCTTTGCTGAGAAGTGCCCGATATAGCACATCATCCTTCTCTTGGTCGAAGCGCCCATGGAACTTTATCATCGATTCGTTTAGTTCTCGGGTGAAACATTTCCTAGGCGTTTTCCTCCATTACGAACCTTCTCGTACCCTGGGTCGTGAGCGTGATGGCTGTGTTCCCTAGGATCCTTCGCATACGTGTACCTCCCCACCAGGGTCGCTTCGCCAGCCTGCAAGCACGGCGATCACATCGGCTCCTCAAAGCCGAGCGTGCCCACACACATAGGTTTCATACATATCGCGATTGCACAATCAAGCCAGTACAGATGACTAGTGTGTGTGCCGCAGATAGCCCAGTTAATTGCCTTTGGTGCCGCAGTCTTGGGTTTTAGCTACTAACAAGGTCTGGTAGGCCCAATCACAGTTCCTTTGTCACATCTCACGATCTGTGCTAAGCAAAGCTAACAATGGGTGGTTGGAACGCCAACATAGCTCTACGACATGATCGATGTGACGGGTGGGGCGATCGTGACCTGTACGAGATTAGCTGGATTCCCACGACAAAATCATGAGCACAAACGTGGCATAGGGTGTTCGCATCCTATTGAAGGCCAACAGCATGCCCCCGGAGAATTGATGGCGCAGTCTCTGGGTCGGCGTTTACACCCGCCTAGTCGGCCAGTTACCATAACGCTCTCCTGGGTATGCTGGGCGGAATGATCATTGATTCATGAGTTGAGCTCGTCATGATCATCAGAGCCCATCAGCTTGCTGGTGAGCGAACTCTACTATCATCTCTACAATAAGGTCTGGTCACACAGTTGCGAGCAACACTCTCTAGAGTGGCGGTATCCTCCAGTGGCCATATCCAGCATGTCCATGTACAAGAAACTTCAGGATCAGAGTGATGCGGGGTGACAGCTTAGTGTGAATGCAGTTGTGTGCCCATGGTACAAACGAGACGGGTACGACAGCCAGCCACACCTGATACTAGCCGGAGCTACTGGACAATTTGCCGTAGTCCGCATTGTTCGCTGTTCAACTACAGGCCATCTAGAACATCATGTAGTCCATCTATTGAGCGCCTACGAAAGTTCAGCCGCAAGGGATCAGCGTAGTACATCGCAGACAAAGTTGTCCAGACCGACCACAAGCTCAAGTCAGAAATATTCACCTTTGCAAGTATGACATTTGGCCTAGAACAAGCAACAGTATTCCATTGTCCAATCAAACAATCGTCTCTTTCTGGTCTGTTGACCATGGCTTATTTGATAGCCCAGATTCACTCCAACTTCAGCACGTTCACATCGGCGCTTGGAAAATCCACGCTACCCGGCATACATAGCGTACTAGAGTTGGAATACACATTATATTTGGGCCACATTCTGTTCTCGCATGACCAGCTCCCACAGTCGAGATCAAGGAGACTCCAGGCGGATAGAGCGTAGACGCCTTCGCTAAGGTCATTGTTAGTGATTGTGGCTTGTACACTGGAACCATGATTTGAAAAAGGAAGACCAGGCTACATCAGAAGGTAAGAAGAAAGACTTACTTCTCACACGACCAACTCATTTGCACAGTCAAGTTGTAGACCTTCGGCTCTGTCGTATCAAAATTGAAAGTCGCGCTAGTTGTCCAGCACCAGTTGTCGTCCCTCACTTCTCCTCCAGCAGGCGCGAAGTCGCATTCATAGCTGATAGAGGGACTGAAAATGGCGAAAGAATTCGAGTTCTTAGCACTACACGCAATAGCAACTCCAACTGCGCTGTTAATCAAGGTGAAGTCGAGAAGGCCTTGTCTCGGACCTTGGGCGGAGGGAGATACCATGAGGTAGTAAGAGGAGAACTTTATGATTTCGATGGAGAGGGAAGGGGAATCAGCTCCAGCTGCCGTAAAGAGGGAGAGAAGAGGAAGGATAGCGAGCACAATGGATGAGTGAAACATCATCACTGTAGGCTTCGTAGATTTGCCCTGAATGCGTGAAACTGGATGGCAATGTTGGTGGAGGCTGAATACAAGAGGTGACTGCCCAAGGCTATAAGTAATGTGATTGCGCAGCCTACTTCAAGTCGATAGTAATAAGTAATCCGCCAAGCATAGTTGGCAAGGTGACACGCCGAGAAGGAGTACTTTGCTACGAAAAGCCACCAGTTGCAAGACGGCGGTCGTGTCCTCTAGTTGAGGAATCGCTTGGCCGTACGTTGTTGCTGATCTTGATAGACATACCTGCCACATGTGCTACCTTTGGGAATGTCTGCTATATACAATTGGTACCATGGAGAGAGGAGCATTGAAGTACCTACAATCAGAATCTTTGGCGACAGAAAATGTTGGAAATCAAGGCAACATAGTAATCTTGCGCAAGTCTGATGTACGAACAGAGTCAATTCGGTCGTGTTATGGAAAAGCAAGCCCAGGTCCCAGCTTCGAAGTCAAGCACACCGTGTCCCGTAAGTTACCTACGGTATCCTCACTTGATAAGCTACCGGATGGTCGAGCATTACACATGCTAAGAGTTCAGTCCATCCTACTCCTTGTATGTGATAGTTTTCATCCTCAAAAACTCTTCAATACCCCAGTGCCCGTTGAATCGCCCAAACCCACTTGCCTTCGCACCACCATGCGGTAAAGTCCACTCATCATGCACTGTCATGGAGTTGATGTGAATAGCTCTGTGTCTCTTTGTTAGCGACCAGGTTCCAGAAGTAGTAACGTATGATCCACATTATGCGTTATTTGCAAAACTTACCCGCTTTCAATCTGCTTGGCAATGCGCAGACCACGGCCAAGGTTCTCTGTGAATACAGCACCAGAAAGACCGTAGTCAGTGTCATTAGCGATCTCGATAGCTTCCTCGTCGCTGGAGATCTCTATAACGGAGACGGATGGTCCAAAAGATTCGGTGTGGAAAAGCTCCATGTTCTTGTTCACGCCATCAACGATGATGGGACGCATGCGTGTTCCGGAGGTTTCGTTCGTCTCCGGGTGTTTTTCATCGCTTTCGTGGTCACCATGTACGACTTTGGCACCATTCTTGACTGCATCTGCGACAAGGCGTTTGTTCTTTTCTACACCCGGCGCAGCTACGAGAACCGGTGCGGGCTTGTCGCCGCCGAAGATACCCTCTACGGCGCCCTTGAAAGCTTCGATGAATTGTGGCTTGATGTTCTTGTGTACCAGAATGCGTTCCGAGCTCATGCAAATCTGGCCTGAATGTAGGAAGGCACCTAGTGCACATTGTGTCGCTGCTGTCTGCAAGTTGGCATCGTCGAGGACAATGGCGCTCGCTTTGCCACCCAGTTCGAGCAGAACAGGTTTGAGGTTCTTGCCAGCTGTCGATGCGATTATGCGACCAACGGCGGTAGAGCCAGTGAAGTTAATCTTCTTGATGGCGGGCTCCTCAATTAGGGCAGTGGTCACCTGCGCCGCATCCTCGGGACGATGGAAGAGGACATTGAGCGCGCCCGCGGGAAGGCCCGCCTCGCTCAAGGCGCTGCCAATAGCCCACCATGTGCGAGGGCAGAACTCGCTACCCTTTAGGATGCAAGTGTTACCCGCAGCGAGAGGGTACAGAATTGATCGCATACCAAGCACATACGGGGCATTCCTGGTACTCACATAAGTTTCCCATGTATGATCATGGATGGGAAGATACATACCAAGGTGCAATGCCCAACACGACCCCATACGGCTCTTTGACGATCAACGCACTAGTACCCTCCTCTTCACAGCTAGGAATATGTCCCATCACGGCGCTCAACCTTCCCGCCACATCTCTCAGCATATCCGCCATCTTAGGCACATTGAACCCGTTGCTGAACATGTCCGCAGCTCCAGTTTCAATCTTCATGTAGTCTGCGAATTCTTCCGCGCGCGCATCGATCACGTCGGCGGCTTTCAAGAAGATATTGCGTTTAGCGGAATGCTTCATCTTAGACCAAGTGGGGAAAGCAGCTTTTGCCGCTGACACGGCACTCTTGACATCTTCCAGAGAGGCGGCCGAAGAGGTCCATACTTGCTTGTGGGATGAAGGTGATGTTACAGGAAAAGTGGTTTTGGTTGTGACCTCCTTGCCGTTGATGAAGAGGGGTACAACATAGGACGGATCGGGCTTAACGACTGAGGGGTTAGACATTTTTTCTTTTGTATCTCACACTCTTTGTTGCTGTTGGTGAGGTTGGCGTTGCTTTTTCACAGTAGAAACAATGTAAAGAATAACGCGACGAGAGGTAGAAGTACCGGGTTGGATGGAAGAAGCTATCTCCATAGTATCCACATTACGTGCGCACCTGCTTCCGATCTCAGACCCTGAGGGCGCGCGCATGGCGAAATCGGCAATTGAGGAACGCGGTTCAGGGGGCGAGTGGACCGGCATGTGGAGACGGCACGGCTCAGAGACGAGTAGACGGAAGAAACCGACACATGAAAACCTCGGGAGGTGGACAAGATAGACGTAAATCATCTCATATATTGCCTCACGTAACAGCTTGCTCACTGGGCGAAAATATTGCGGAATAATTCCATGTCATCGTCACAGCCGCCAAGGCGGGGCTCCAGGTGCAAAATCTGGACGTTGCTTGCAAGGCGCGCGTGTTCAAGGAACGCCTTGAGGTTGTCTGTAATTTGTATAGTGCAGGTGTTCGTTAGCGACGGCTTATGCAAATGTACTACAGTCGCCGTTATTGCACTCTTCAGGCAGAGCTGTAATGACGTCAACTCTCTAGATCAGCGGGGTGTTATTGATGAACCTCCCGAGGTGTGATCGCAGGTAATTACTTCATTCAAACCAATTCGATCGCAATTTGTTTGAACTAGCGCTCAATAAGGGAAGACAAGTGTAGGTATGAGGTCGAAGGTTTATCCTTTCAAACCGATCGAAATTACTCGATACCATCAGGATTGCAGGCCTTCTGCGCACACACTACCTAGGTATATGTCTCTCACCGATTTTTGTTCCAGCTCAGAGACATGGTCTCAGAACTAGATAGCTCGAGTCTCTTGAAAAACCAACATACGCTCAATACGCTCCTGAGGACTTCAATAGTCTCAAGAAGCTATAATGTGAGTGTGTAGGTTGTTTAGAATGTTGGTGTTCACTTGCAGTGGTGATACACAAGCCTAACGAAGGAAACGAACCAGGGCACACTTTGTCTCAAACAAGTGTGATTCATTTCGATGTAGAAGCTCCAAGACTTTGGCATTGCGGTACTTTTTCGCTTATCCAGGAGAAACTCCTAATTATCACATTTTGGGTGGCAATAAGGATCAGCAAACAGAACCTAATCATATTGAGTTACTGCTCATTTCAAGATCGCTATGCCGAAATGATGCTCAGCAAAGGTAGCCATCATCGTGGGTATTGCTCTTACATTAATCATGATCGCTATACAGATCGATCTCATTTGACGAACGTGATGAATCTGTTGAGTCATCTTTCCAATCGGAAAAGTCCGCGTCCTCGTCGTCTCGTTCCACTACAAAATTTATGCCTTTTTCGACCGAAAAGAGTTCAACAAGGCGTTGCCAATCATACATCGCGGACGATGAGACTACAACTCGAACCTCCTTCAACCGAGGAACATGCGCAAGATAGGAAGAGGCCACATTGTCCAGAGCTTGAAGGTAGTGTTGGTCGTCTGTAGAAGGTCGAACAGGTGTTCGAAACCTCAGAAGCGACGCAGGCAATCTTTCCGTGATTGTGTCGGAGACTCTACTCATCATCATTCCTAATGGGCAGCTGAGCTCCTTTAGCGACACAAAGCCTTCGAGGCTGTCACGAAGATGAATTCCGCTATGTGTCCTTTCTTCTGCGATCGAGTCGCAGAAGATGTAAAGGGTCTCTAAGGAGGCCTTTTGACTATCCAAGGCTTCACACAACGTCTTCAATCGGTCTCCATTTGGTATCGGCGAGTCTGACAGGTGATCTAGACATACATCGTATCTGAATGTCTTTAGGCACCGTGCTGATGAGATCAACACTTCCAGAAGAAACTTAGTGTAGTAGGTACATTCCAGTTCAAGCTCGTCCAGATCGTTACAGGCTTGGGGAATAAGACGCTGCAGTTTGAGTGCCGTTCTTTCGCCGTGTTCGCGATGACTTGCGCATATGTTGCAATCCACCATACCATATTCGTGAACCTCGCGCAATTGCAGCTTTCGTAATGATTGAAGTCGGAACAAAGGTGCGACGTCACTCAAGGATGTCGTTCTTGCTTCAAGTTTGATTGATCGTAGATGTTCGAACCGATGAGTCTGTCTGGATAGAGTACCCGCTGCCGCCTTGCTTATGAGATCGAACCAGGCGCGGCGTCGCGATCGATCTCTTGCGATGTCTAAGATGCTGAGATGTGTGATATTCGGGATATACAATAACATCGCGTTTTGCAATGCTTCGTCGTTACTACGGTCTTCGTTGCATTGAGTCGCCCATTCTTTCCAGTCCGACGTACCAAGCGCGCGCAGTCCTTCTTTAATAGTTTTCTTGTCCTTCGCAGTTGGAGCATAACGCCGACCCTTGCGACATGTCCACAGGCCGAATGTGATGTCCACATCGTGAACAAATTCCGCAAGCTGCGGATTAAGAATCATAGTACGAAGAAAAGTGTAAGGCTCGCAGAAATGGCTATTGTACTTAGTGTAGAGCATATCAACGACAATCCGGTAAAAGCGCCGACTGGTCAATGCCAAATTGACCAGTGTAGGAAGTTGGAATTGGTTGAGGTCTATACCTGGTAGGTAGCCCAGTATTTCAAGAATCAACTCATCAGGAAGATCAGTCAACGTCGCAAGCGACCCAGCTGTACGAGATCTCAAGCCATTGTTCTTGAGTTTACGCTTGGTAGCGCGTCGACGCTTTGCATCTTGTGACGGAAGTAGCGGGAAGTCGCGCTCATTGATGATCGGCATTGTATGTGGCGACGCAGTATCATTGGGACTGGCGACAGGCGCAAATCGTATAAGGATGAGCAATATGGATCTCAGGCCTTTTGTGATTTTAAAAGGAGTATGCCAACTGAACTGGCGATTGCGAAACGGTTGAAGGGTGGCTGAAGTCAGTGGAAAGCAGGTGTTAGGCGTGTCAACACGGGTTTTGCGCTAAGTGGGCCTAATCAATCGACGCCCTACCCTGCTACCCTGCCCTTCGCCTCGTGGTTGACGGCAACACCTAACGCCCTCCAGGTTTTACAGCCGTGCAACCAATACCTCGCGTCCTTACCTTTCGCTACCTGGAATCTCTCTACGCGTCGCAAGAGCGCATTGGACACTTCCGAAGTGACCGCTCTACAACGAAAACCTCGGGATCGAAGGTATCGTTTCATCACTCGAAGCTGCGCCACCCGTTCCATCTAGTTCGCTTTCTTCGCCATGGAGCGCCTATCAGAAGAATTGCTAGACCACATAGTGTCTGAAGTCACCAACCCTTTGCCGAGTAGACATAAACCACTCTACAACGACCTTCTCAGCTTATCGATGGTATCCCGTAAATTTTGTCGCATCGTAGAGCCGTATATCTACCGCTCTCTGATCATGACCGCGAATAATGGAGAAAAATTGTTACGAACAACGAACACCCGTTCTGAGCTGCTACGACACGTTCGGGCCGTTTTCGTGGAGCAATATTGTCATGTTGCTGATGAGATTCGAGACTTCATCATGCACCTACCCAATCTGCAAGAGCTGGACTTGGACATCATGGGTTCCTTCAAAGAATGTGGGCTATCAGATATCGTACCAGTATTGAAGTTACGGACCGTGACCACTCTGCGCCTCTCCGGTGTTGCAGCGAGAGAAACCGTGGCAATGTCTTTAGACGACTGGAAGTTCGAGAACAATACGGTCACTAGCCTGGACCTCTCTTTCTTCGAGCCACAGGATGGGGAGGAACTCAGTGAAAAAATCCGGATCTTCGCGGCGGTTTTCCGCAACTTAAGATCTTTGAAGTTGCACGCCAACTACCAGTGGAATACTCACATTCCTATTTTGACTGGCTTTACGTTCCGCTGCCTCGTTTACTCATTCAAGCACGCCTTCGAGACAACTCTTCGCGAATTTAGCTTTGGGTACAACGATGATTATGGCCATTCGGAAGAGTTTGAGGCCTTAGGCCACAGTCTCGGTGCAAGGGAAATACTGAAAGCGTCGCGGCTAGAGAATCTCAAGATAGACACAATCTGTTTGCAAAAGGCTAACCAAACAAACAAGCTAAGGAGTCTGTTACTTGAACCTTCGTGTCTACCTACGTCCTTACGTACACTGTACGTGCGTCATATCGTTGCCACGGGAAACCTAAATCCCGAGGAAAGGAATCTCATGCACTCAGACGAAGCTCAGTGTTTGTCACAGCTAGTGAATCTTGCGTCGCGAAGATCGCGTTTTCCTAATCTGCAGAAACTCACACTAGCAATATCCCTACCTCCATTTTTTGAAGAGGTTGCTTCCAGGGTTGTAAAGATTCAAGCCCGGAAAGCTAAAGTGCAGTTGGAATTAATGTTCATGTAAAGTTATGTGTAGAGCTGCAGCAGCTGCGATCGCTGACGAATGATTAGGCCTGAGCGGGACCACGTCAGCCATGATGTCTCCAGAGCTTGGCCCGAGTATGACCATGCTCGAGATCCTCGGGATCCATCCTATGATTCAACGATCATCCATCGCTCCTAGCTGTGATTTCTTCACCACATCCGCGACTATCACCAACAATATCTTGCATACCGATGCTGGTTTACATGCAAGCTCGGATCTCTGTGGCTGTACTGTCGACAGGGCTGGCGAGCAGCGGGGCCTCTGACTACTGTCTAGGTGGATTGATAAACAATGTCGAAACTGTGCCACAAGACTCGGTCCTGAGAGTAAGCTCAAACGACGTCCGAGCTGCAGTGCCCCAAAGATCGCCATCGGCTTCATGGGAGGAAGATCGCCGGATTCGAGCGCTAAAATCCGATTGGTTGTCTATACGAGGTTACGAATCCATTCAGCCACCTTCGGCGCCAACATTGCGAAGCCGCAGCGACGTATCGCAAATAGTGCTGGAAGAGTCGGGTAATGCAGTTTACGAATACGCGTACAACTGGATCAGACAGAGCCTAATCTATATAAGTGCCACCCACCGACTTAATGCCGTGTCCATTCCACACATACAGGAAACTATTAGGTCCAGCAAGATTCGACAATCCACACTTTACAGTATAAAACTCTACTGTCTTCACAGCAGTAACCCCGTATCTCCACAGTACCATGTGTCGCGCACTTACTCTCTCCACGTCGAAACGGGACCAAACTACACCAAATACAGCAACCGCTAAACAACCCATTATCGGCGGAAATCTCAAGACAGGCCTCGAAAAGCTTACACGGGCTGTAGAACGAGGAGTCGACCGTCAAATCTTGAGCGCTCAAGTGCGGACTTATGGCACACCTCCGTCGTCCTCTCAATCCTCGGAACAAACAACGAACATTGGCTCATATAACACGAAACCGATTATCTGAGCGACGAGGGGACTTTATTGCATAAACCACTATCTCCATGACGACACCGAGGGCCTGCGAAGGCTCGAACTCTGAAGTACAAACATTGTCCCTGGATCAGAAGACCAGTATTATCGTGTACGAGGATCGATCTGGGTCGTTGCATATTATGTTTGTATACAACATATCGAGAGGATAGTCGTGTTGGTAAAAAGAGCTGCAGAGTAGTCTTTGTCGGTTGTAAGATAAGTTTATGTGCATTCATGTAACATTCGATGGCAATCGCTTGTATTTTTAGTGCGTTTCCAAACTTTAGAACCCCTTTACCTTTCCGATATTCTTAACAAGATTTGAACGTGCTAAGCTTGTCCTTTGAGTCAGTCCAATAGTGCAGTATGAATCGAGATATCACAGCCTGAGCCACTTAAGAACACAGCAAGGATAAGTAGGAGAGATTGACGATTCTAGTGCGCACATTTCACATGCGTAGCCTGATAATGTTATTGATGTTAGAGAAATGAGGAGTGGCAAGTATCCTAAGCGGATTTGCACAACGTCGCAAGCTTAGAATGCCGTTGTACTCCAAGTGTCACATTCGTCGTATTGCGGCAGCCCAAGAACAATTGCACCACGGAGCAAAATAGCCAGCTACTGCCGTGAAGGCAGAGAGCAAGAGAGTTCGTAGTCTAGAGTTGCGAGCCCCACTCGGGTTACCGCTGTCTGACTCCACCCACATCCACATCCCTTGGCTTGAGGTTACCGGTTGTATTCTCGTGGTCGGACTCGTAAATTTATAAAAAGTATATATTTGTACCAATCTTTCACGACTCCATCAATTGAACATTAGTTCAATCACCAGCATCGGTGGTTTAGTGGTAAAATTAGCCGTTGCCATCCATCACAGGACAGTTTCGGCTAGCCCCGGGTTCGATTCCCGGCCGATGCATTTTGCTCTTCGCATTCTTTTTTGCATCTACTCCTGTTGTCAGAGGTCGTGGTAGTTCAAGAGCATCGCAAATGGCCGGGTGAGTTTGGAGACATGAGACGCAATGACCTTGCGCACCTGATGTTTTTGCCAAACCTACAAACATCGTACACCATAGTTTTTCTGCCGATACCACAGCACCATTGCGAGCATTACGATGGGCGCATGATCTTAAAGTTGTTAGGGTGGCTTGCAACTACAGATTATCATTAGATGGCAAGTGGCGGACCTCTATACACACCATCGGGCTTATACTACAGGAAAGCAGAGACGCATTCATATAGCTACTGATATAGGAGTACAGCGTCGCATCGTTGCCGGAACAAACGTCCCTCGATATGGATGCTTGTTGTGAATATCCTGCCTTTCTAGTGGCCGAAATCCGCAATTGGCACAACAACCGCCTACCAGATCTGGGATGTGATGTTGAGAAGGAGCCTACCACTCTATATGTGTTTCCAACCTTTGTTTGTGCACTGAGAGAAATAGGTATGGTACTCCGTCTCATACTATCGGGGTGCACGCAGACGGCTCGATATACATTCCCTTACTGGGCGATTCCCATTTGACGAGTCCACTACGACCCCAAAGCTTGTTGCAAGAAGCTTCCACATTATCATACCAATGCACCAGCTGTTCATAGTTGGCATGACAGTGAACGCAACGAGAGCTATGGAAGGGAGTGGTAGACTAAGCCGCATTCAGAGCTAGCGCCAACCACCAGTGCTAAGCGACACTCGAAATTCCCCAGTGTCGCAAACCGACGACATCGACCACCAACGAAGCCTCAACCAAGACCACCCGCCGTCAACACACAAATCGATCAAAATGGAGAACGAACGCGGAGAGCTCGTCGACCTTTACGTCCCCCGCAAAGTAAGCCAAATGCCTGCAATCGCAATGAATGTCTGCTAACATGATACAGTGCGTGAGTATCCCACGACTAGCTACCTGACCCCGAAACGCGATACTAATATCCTCCAAGTCGGCCACCGGACGCATCATCAGGGCCAAGGACCACGCCTCTGTCCAGCTCAGCGTTGGCAAGGTTGACGAGAACGGCCGCTACACCGGCGACAACCAGGCCTACGCCATCTGCGGTTTCGTTCGCGCCATGGGTGAGGCCGACGACAGCTTCAACAGGCTCGCACAGAAGGACGGCTTCCTCAAGTCCGTCTGGAGCGCTAGCCGGTAAATGGTTGGGGATATGGAGTTGAGGTATGCACATTGCGACTCGGGCGAGGTGTCTGGGCTGCGGCTGACCGGGAGCAGGAATTCGGAATCTGAACTGCCCTTCGAGGGCGCAGGCATGCATTTCACGGCGACTTAAGCCTTCATTTCCTTTCTCCTGCGGATCAACGATATCACGAGGAATGGGAACCGGTTGAGACATGAATACCATCAAATTCACAAACCCTGTCACGTCTCATGCGCCTCCGCAGCCTCCGCCAAGACTCGGCTGTGATGTGTACTGTCGAATTTGTGAAGTCATGACGACGGCTAGGAGTGCTGCTTTCATGTTCGCTATACTGGCAATACATTGGTACAGATGCTTACTTTGCAAACTGATTACGCGTCGTTTCTAGGTACATGGATCAACGCCTGCAGAAAAGCACTTACTCCCTGCCCCGATTCTCCGTTGCTGCCCAAGTTGCTACCCATCGCACCACATCCGCATGGGAGAACCGTCAAAACTCATAACAGGCGTTGTGTGCGACATGTACATGGATGGCGTACCGACGCAACACAGAGCAAGAGCCTGTAATACACGGCCGCGTGGTCATACGCACTGTGTCTCTGCTGCATGCGAGAAAATTGTTTTGTTAACAACATACAAGCCCCAACGTGGATGTCTCTGAAGCCTACACTGCAGTACAGTACAGCGTGCGAACTGACGCGAGTATACCTGACCCCCTATATCGAGCAGCATAGCATGTAAGGCGGGCACTGTCACTGTGTTCTGGCCCAATGTACCGAGCCAGCCCACCACACCTCGCTAAAACCCAAAGCCCCACGGACGACGTCTGCCAATGACCTGCTAAGCGTGGACCCGACAATGCGGGTGGTGCGATTGCTGTGTAACATTAGACGTAAAAGAGCAGAAGTCTGGACACCCACTCGTAGTACTGAGGTTACATGTGACGATACTTATCAGTACCGGAAGACAAGTATCCAGCGTCTATCACTTTGCAGCAACTAAACGTCGGTTACCGATGGTGCCGAAGATGCTCCATGCTGTTAGTTCCAGGGGATATTGGTAGCCACCAATATACTGTCGCTGAAGAGTTCTCTCCATACAATCTTCGCAGCATGGATCTTACGCGCAGTACTGATCCTCAACAGAGTCGTATATTGTATCACTGGGATTGCGGGGATGCAGCAACGATGCTTGGCAGCGGTCCGCTGGGAATGCACAGAATGTTCACCGATGACGAGGCTTAGCGACCGATCAGATGAGTACATTGCATGTGCGTGCATAGAGTGTGGCACGAGGCGAAAGGTACATGTGTGTGATACTGAGGGCTGGTCATGTAGTACAGTCTTCGTCTGCCTCATGTAGATCACTTGAACTGGACGGCCGGGTATGAAGGAGGATCAACCGAGCCTCGGTAACGTCGGTGCGTTGACTCTCTTCATGTTCTTAGATTGCGTGGGGATATACAAGTGAGAAGCTAATATAGTATCTCTTGGACCAAGTGATACTATACACCTTTTCCACACAAAAAGCGCGCATTCCAGGACGGACCTATCATCAAACTTGATGCCAGCGTGAATTACTAAACATGAGCTGGTGACCTTTAAGAGATCGAGGCTCTAGGCTCAAGTATTTTGCTTTTCCCGTCTAGAAGTATATGCGGCTATACACATCTTGTAATATGATTAGATGGGTGCAAGTCGCATGACAACGGTAAGGCTGCAGGGCGCTAGGCTACGTTTTGTTTCCGAGTGGATACAGTACACGCGGAAGGTACCATCCATGCGAAGTAAGGCAAGTTCGATTTTGCCGCAGTCGAACGCGATATGATGACATAATGTTGAGGAAAATCCATAGCTGTAAGCGCGGCTATTGATAAATCCCATAGCGGTTCAGGCCCGCTCAGAGATTGCCGCTGTCCAAATACCCACCGCTTCTCCAAACCCAAGTATCGTCACCAAACTACCGAACAAGTACGTAGTATACACATTAATTCCCGCTCGCTACCAGAATACACGTGGCAGACCCACGTACTTTCAAGTCAGCTTCCCGCATCCCGGGGAAGCGGGCTGTCGCTGCAAAGGGGGACAGTCTTACATGTCTTGGCGCGCATACAAGCGGTGTGATTATGCAGTATGCGGGCAGGTCCATCAGTGTACACCGACGTATTGAAATGTGCGGATCCGACTTATTCTTCGACACAAAGGATGCAGAATTTGATGTGTGGTGATGTCAGACCGGACTCTGCGGGTCGGACGTAGATAGTAAGTGGATGAGTGTGCACAGTGGATGGTAGTCGTCGGGCCGATTCACAGTGGTCGAGAATTGTCGCGGGCCGGAAAGTGTCGCACTGCGGATGTCGCACTGTATAGGGACGACTGCGACGTTCCTCATTCATCGACGAGTCGGTGTTGTGGTCCCAGAATTCGGCTGCTGTTGATCTGGAATAGTATCAAGAGCAGCATTCCGAACCGCGGACACGGCTTTACTCTCCCCCACCTTCCAATCGTCACCTTTGCGCACGATCTTCGATCGGTCCTTCTCTGCTTTCTTGAGTAGCATTTCCTGAATCTTTGTGTCGCGGCGTTTGCCTTGGACACAGTCGCAAAGACAGCCCTCGGTCGGACAGGCACCGTCTGATAGTACCGGGTCAGCAAACCATGTTGATAGACAATTTGAATGCCCTCCATGTCCACAAAGTGGGCACCACGTCCAGAGTGTAGCTGCAGGCGACGACCAATTGGCGGTAGTGGTCGGCGAGGGACCATCCGCGACCTGATCGTCATCATGGTCTGGATGCGACATGAGTGACGATCGTTGTCTTTTATGTCCTTTATCCTT